TAGTAGTAGTAGTAGTAGTAGTAGTAGTAGTAGTAGTAGTAGTAGTAGTAGTAGTAGTAGTTGTAGTAGTAGTAGTAGTATTTACAAGATGACATGGAACACCCTAGTTTGTGACCGTAAACAGAATTTTTATTGCATCCCTGAACGTAACTAAATCCGACTCCTTCCACAGAAAAAAACACAATGTGAAGGAGGAAGCTGTGTGAAGAGGAACCTGAGTGTTGAGCTTTTAAAAAAACAAAGTTTTTTGGACAAATGCAGCTCCAGTCATCACCTGTGTCTTATAGATGCAGCACACTAAGATGCTAAAAATGACTTCATGCCCATCAGCAATAACTAATGTATGTCAGTCATATTAAAATWAAATTTTATTAATTCTAACTTGTTCATGTTAACAATCAACAGTATCTGCATGGAAATGACTGCAATATTTATCCTGTGGTCCCATGATGATGTAAAAAAACAACTTGTGTGTATGTGTGTGTTTGTACTTGTTTCTGCTACAGAATGAGGACCGCTTCCAAAATAGTTACTATCAAAGTGAGGTCCTCACTTCATCTGCAGCTCTGTTGTGCTCTACTAGTTAGGTTTAGAGTTTTGGTTCAGGTTAGAGTTAGCCATAGACCAGTAATGGTGACAAATACAGTTACAATACTGAATGAAAGTCAATACCAAGTCCTCAGGTTGCTGCAAGTACAGGAATGTGTGTGTGTGTGTGTGTGTGTGTGTGTGTGTGTGTGTGTGTGTGTGTGTGTGTGTGTGTGTGTGTGTGTGTGTGTGTGTGTGTGTTGGCCTACCTAGAGTCCTTGAGTTGGCCGACACCTTGAAACACATCCAGAGCCAGGAATGTGAGAAGGATGCGAGCCTCCACGGCGCACAGATCAGTCTGGACAGGATGGTAGGTCTCTGAGAATCAACAGTTGGAGGTGGCAGATAGATGGGGGGCTAAATTGTCTGTAGTCTGGACCTCAGGCATGATAAAGTCCACAACTCCCTCGTCTGAAGGACTGCAGTCTGGTGAATGTCAGACCGGCCCGATGCATGCTGCTTATCTCATTGAAATGGTTTCCTGCCCAGAACACTGAGAACAGAGGGGAAAAGGAAGGTAGAAATAATTCAGGCAGAGATTATGTGATTTCAAAACATTCTGTACCAAATTCTTTAGGTTAGCACTGAATAGTTTACATTATGTAGTTGTGTAATTTATAAGCACACAAGGGTTGTAATTTTTTCTTTCATTATGCATTTGAAATAATTATAGCTGGTCAGCAGTTTAAGAATGTCACAATATCAGATTTGTGGAGTATCATTTAACCCTCTTAATAGTACAGTATAATCCCAAATCTGTCAGTCGTATTTTATCGAGCACATTTTAATGCAGCAGCAAATAACACACTTGTTCTGCTTTTCAACATTTTCTTTATTGTTAAGTAGTTTCTCTAAAGTGGTTTGAAGCTTGCAGTAATGGTTTGTAGATTTGATGAGGCCACGGCATCGAGCACAGATCTTAGTTAGTTGTGAAATTGTTCGGCAAAAAACAAATAAATCACAAGAGGAAAGTATCAATTTAAATCACTAACTAAATAAAAAATAACATGAAAATACAGTAATGATCTGATAACTGGACATGTCCAAAATGAAAGAAGAGTTAGTTGAAACAGAGTTGATGCAATCCAGCGTAAAAGTGACAAAAACATCTATCCATCCATCCATCCATTTTCTTCCGCCTATCCGGGGTCGGGTCGCGGGGGCAGCAGTTTCAGAAGGGAGGCCCAGACCTCCCTCTCCCCAGCCACTTCTTCCAGCTCCTCCGGGGGAACTCCAAGGCGTTCCCAGGCCAGCCGAGAGACATAGTCCCTCCAGCGTGTCCTGGGTCTTCCTCGGGGCCTCCTCCCGGTTGGACGTGCCCGGAATACCTCACCAGGGAGGCGTCCAGGAGGCATCCTTACCAGATGCCCGAGCCACCTCAACTGGCTCCTCTCGACGTGGAGGAGCAGCGGCTCTACTCTGAGTCCCTCCCGGATGACCGAGCTTCTCACCCTATCTCTAAGGGAGAGCCCAGCCACCCTGTGGAGGAAACCCATTTCGGCCGCTTGTATCCGGGACCTCGTTCTTTCGGTCATGACCCAAAGCTCATGACCATAGATGAGGGTAGGAACGTAGATAGACCGGTAAATCGAGAGCTTCGCTTTCTGACTCAGCTCTCTCTTCACCACGACGGACCGGTACAGCACCCGCTTTACAGCAGACGCTGCGCCAATCCGCCTGTCGATCTCCTGCTCCGTTCTTCCCCCATTCGTGAACAAGATCCCCAGATACTTAAACTCCTCCACTTGAGACAGGGCGACCCCCCTGACCCGGAGAAGGCACTCTGCCCTGACAAAAACAAAGTTATTTTATTGCAGTGATTAATTTTGCCTATATATAGATAATGTTACATTTACAGCAGCAGCATCTGATCAATATGTGATCCATGGTGTGATGTAAATGTAACTTTTTCTACATATAGGTAAAATTAATCACTGCAATAAAATAAAACCATTTTATTTTGTCACTTTTACAGTGGATTGCATCAACTCTGTTACATTACAGAAGGAAAACTTCACCAAAGTGAAACATAAATCTGTGGATCTGTGTTTGATTACTCTGGCTGGCTTTCTCAAGGACCAGGATGTGACACAAAAATCTGAATTTAAGAACTGAAAGTGAAAGTAGTCGAACTGAATTTTTAATTGAACAAAATACAGTTTCAAAGCAAATTCATTCAAACTCAAAACGTTAAATTCAGTTTGACTTCAGTAAAATTAATTTTCAAACCAATGCATTCAATTTCAAATTATGCATTCAGATTCAACCTGAGCAATTTAAATTCAATTCCTGCTGGCACAACATTTATCCCATATTCACAGGACCTGCACGCACGTTTGGAAGCAGCTCTAGAACAGGTCGACACGTTTCACGACCTCCTACAGGAGAGGGATGCAGAGAAGATGGAGTTAGAGCAGATGATCCAGGAAGTACAAAAGGAAAGTCAGGAAGTTCAAAAAGCCCTGGAGGAAAGCATCAGAGACAGCTGCAGATCCCACTGCTCTTTGGAGCTCATCTCCAGGTACGCCTCCATAAAAGCATGTTTATCATTTGTCACTATTGTTTTATGACTCAGGGGTTTAAATGGAAGTAATGTTTTTTTCCCCTCTGCTTCCCTCTCAAACAGTGAGAAAGAGAGTTTGGAGATGCTGCTCTCCGGGCTGCAGCAGGAGGTAAACTCGCAGCGTGTCGAGCTGGAGGCACTGCGGAGCTCATCCCTGGACCTCCAGAGGCAGCGGGACCTCCTGAGGCAGCAGCGGGAGGACCTGGAGACTCAGCTGGCACGCCAGCGCACAGAAGCCCAGAGAGGGTACTGATGAAAACACACAACAACCATTACACAACAAACATCTTGTCAAGCCCACTTGTTTTCAAGCTCCATGTGTTTAGAGCTCAGATCAACAACACATGTCGTGGCCAACGATGCAACCAGATATTTGGATGAAATTTGTCGATTATTTGCATGAATGTAGTGTTTTTAAAAGGGATTTTTTAACTAAAAGATTTGATCAATTGAGAAGCAAAACAGGACATACTGTATAGAAAAACAAAAAGAAACACTTCAGGGATTTGGCCTTTATCACTACTTTCTCTGAGGTGATGAATTGCTGTGTATTGTTGAGGAAACAAGGAGACATTGTGAGAGAGTCACATGTGTAATCCATTTTATGTTTCAGGGAGAAGAGTCTGCAGGAACTTGATGAAAAGCACGCCAATCTGCACCAGGAGCTCATGTCAGTGAAGGAGGCTCTGAGTCAAATAAGTCTGCAGAAAGAGATGCTGGAGGACGACAAGGCCAGCCTCACTCTGGCACTCGCTAAGGTTTGACTCGTGCACCAGCAGTCCTGATGCTGGCAGTTTACATCCCTGTAACAGTAACAGGTTAACTCCACAGATGGAGACGGACACGTCTACACAGCAGCGTGCTCTGACCAAACTGCAGAGTCAGCAGGCCGCCCTAAAAGATTCTCTCACCAAAATGGCAGCTCTCAACGAAGGTTTAGCCAAAGACAAGGTGGAGCTGAGTCGCCTCGTGCTGCAGGTCAGTCCCAGGGAGCGCACACGCAACCAACGCTGGTGAGCGACAGAGGCGTGACACGCTCTGGGTTCCGTTCCAGATAGAAGGCGAGAAGACGGAGCTCGACAAACGGAGACGCGGCGCCGAAGCGGAGCAGGCAGCAGCCAGGGAGGACGCGGCGCGTTCACAAATGGAGATGATGGATTTCCTCGCTGAAAAACAAGCCCTGGAGAGCTCCCACATCCAATTACAAGATGTCTGCCAGAAGCTGGAAGTGGAGCTGAGCCTCCTGCAGAAGGAGAAATCTGAGGCCCTGGAGAAGTACTCTCAGGTCAGAGACCGCCGGCCGGTCACTCCCCCTCAGTCCCACCACCTGGAACAACTCCTCCACTGTTATTAATAGTTCTCATCAGATTCATGCAGCTTAATGTGATTACAGCCTATAGGAACATGTGGACGCCTCTGCAGCTTCTTTTTTTTTTCTTTTACATGGGCTATAGAGTAGGTTTTGAGTTCTTCTATATGTTTTATGATTAACTTGGGACATACGTGTTGGGATATTCATGAACAATTCTAAACTGGAAAAGATAAATTGATAGACATATAATACTCAGGAGAGATTTAGAGCCCGAGCCAATAAATTAACACCTAAAGCTTTCCCATTCTTCCTCAGCAGAGCTCTCTTTTTTTTCAGTAAAAAATGAAAAGAATTCCTGATTTGTTATCTGTTCTGAAGCTAAAACCAGGAGAATCATGTTGATCCTAATCGTAACAAAATAAACTGAATGATTTGTCAAATTTTATCCAGACATTTAGATATACCTCACACATAAATTCTCATTAACTGAAATTAGCCACGGTGGCATCTGATGCTGTAGGCTTTTCTTTTCTAACAGAGAACTAATATTTAGTTTCACTTATGAAATTAAATAAAAAGGATTGTTGCTTCATGAACAGAGATATTAGAATCCTGTTATATAAAGAGTGAAACATGAAATCATAACTGGTACGGTTCATGGAAATACTCTAACATCTTGACATCCTTTTGATTTATGCAAAAACCAAAATATCTGAAGTCAAACCAGAAATAAATAGTCTTCTTGCCAAGTTCACATAAAGTTAAAGTATTAGAGAAGGGGCAATATCATGTAAAATCAACTTTATTTTAGTTTTATATCATGTTATAATGTTATCCTCTCATCAAAAACATGTCCAGAGTCTTACTTTTGACTCATTCATGCATGTTTGAGGAATCCTGTAGTGTCCTGAGGCAGCAGGCAGGGGAGCAACAACAAACAGTTGGGACTAGAACCACCTTTTGGGATCAACTCCTCCTCTGGTCTGTGTCTCCAAGCTGATCTTTCTCATCACAAAGCACACAGACCCGGCCCCGTGCTGAAATGGGTGGGACAGAAGCAGAAGGAGGTTCTTAAAGAGACAGAGGCCAATTTCAAGGTGTTTAGAAACAGATATGAGAAGTCAAGTTTATTTTCTATTTAAACATACAAACAACATTTTAATAAATTAAGGTGACAGTTACTTTATTATGGGATAGAATTCAAATATATGCCTGAGAAACACATAATATTGTCCCTTTAAATAAATTTCTGAAGAAATTTTTAAAGAGTCAAATTTAGCTACCACCGCAAATTCCAGCATCCATCCATGTTCTGTAGCCTGGTTAAAACCAGCCCCGTGTTCTTCGCATTGCTTCGTACTGAGGGTCTGGACTGTCGACTATTGAGAAGCGATTGCTTGCTGGAAACTTGGACTCTGTTGAAGTTTAAAATGACCCAATTGTTTAAAGTTTGGCTGTGACATCTAGTGCACCAGCTCGACCGTGAAGGAAGCTAAGCTAAGAAGCTAACCGGGTATTACGTGCGCTGTAAACAACCATCCTCTACTGAGAGGAGAGAAGCACCGAGCTGAACAAGATGGCTGTAGATGAGAGCTGCAGGCTTTAGGAAAGTAATGGCCAGGCTACATGTTTTCTAGAGGCTTTATAGTAATGTTAGACTTCACTTCCAGATTTGAAGAGAAACATTTGAGATCAAATTCATTGAAAGTCCCTGAGAGTTGGGATGTGTGTATTCAGCACTCTGAAGCACTGACTGACACCCATACATGTCAACACCATCAGACATTTACCTTAAAAACAAGTTTTCACACAAAAAAATCATCTCACAGTACTGTAGCACACTAGTACTCTCTCACATGATAGAAGTGGGCATGTGGGGCAAAATCATCAGGAAACCATCCCTGCTGGGTGAGGAGCTTGTTTCCAAAGGGCCTCCGGCCAGGGTAATGGCTTCCTAAGCTGAACATTTTGTGGTTATATATTTAAAAAAATAAAAATAAAATCTAACCTTAAACTGCAGTTGTGTAAAAGTTAAAGGTATCAAAATTGTGGCCCAAGTTGTAGATTTTTGAGGACACAAACTGAAAGCTAAAACTTAAACTTTTACCAACACAAAAGACTATGATAGTGACTGCAGCGCCTAACACAAGCACCCTGACCATAGAGAGGTTACTTCAGGGTCTGATGCTGAAGCTAACGGGCCAAATTAAAGACAGGTGTGTGAAACTGAACAAGGAGGGTGGAGGAAACTCAGAAAGCTTGTTAAACACAGGAAGATGTTCAGATGAGACAAAACAAGGTCTGGCTAAATAATGAAACACAATCACAAATAAACACGACAGAAGGAGGAGTAGAGAACAGGAAGAGTAATGCCTGAATTGGCACACTGAGAAAATATTTTACTTAAAATAATTTACAGTACAAATTAGACTTGTAGGCAAGAGCAACACATTCAGATTTTTTTTTATATTTTACCCTCATTTAGAAGTGAAAAAAGTCACAAACTTCTTGAGTTTAATATTAATTTAGAAAATCAGATCTCAAAGTGTACAGATTTAATGATCTAATCACAACTTTTGGAACTTAAATAAACTTTGTAACTGTTTTAGAGTGAAACATTTGCTTGATACACACTGTATTCTACTCTTTGTTTGTTTGTGTTTGCTGCACTCCAGACCAGAGGGCAGGTGCAGGTCCTACGAGACGAGCTGTGTGCATGCAGGAAGGAGCTGGACTTAAAGAGCACAGCTGTTAGGAGAGTGACCCAGGACTGGGAGGAGCTGGCCAAAGACAAGGCAGCTCTGGATGTTCAGCTCAACTCTGTTAACCAAAAGAGCTGCGGCCTTACCCAGGAGCTGCTAGCACTGAGGTCTGACTTTGTGTTGCTTTGTGTGGTTCGGTTTGTGACGTTGTGTGGGACAACTTTGACATTATTAGCAAGTTCTTGAATGTTTAACAACTAACATGAATGACAATACAAATATTAAGGCTAATGTCAGATTACTACACTAATACACAATGTTGCGGCTAACAGTTTAATACAGTGTCCTCAGTGTGTGTCTGTGTGTGTTTTAGTTAAACTAAATGATATTGTGTCTTTAGAACAGTGTGATTTAAACACAAGTCTCTATTTGTAAATTGGTTTATTTGGAAACTTAAGTTTGTAATGAAATATTATATTTTATGCAGAGGTTTATAGTAACTAAGTACATCTACTTTGTTACAGTACTTAAGTAGTTTTTTTTTGACGATTTGTAATTTTACCAATTATTTTTAAATAGCTACTTTTACTTTTATTTTGTTATGTTTTAAAGCCAAAAATGATACTTTTACTTATTTACTTTAAAATACAGTATAACACCTAGTTACTTGTTACAAAATTAAATATGTTTGAACTCATCATGAAAGATGTTTCTGCTCTGAAAAATGAAATGTTGAATTTACTCAACAAAGTCATGTCTACTGGCTCCACCATGCCTAGTTGAGTAAATTAAAATAAAGAATATACATATATTACTCAATTCATACAACCTGGTTTAGTGGAACCAGTTTGGTTCAGTAAATTCAACAGTTTATTTCTTAGAGTGTGTAAAAGTACTTTTACTTTCCCAATTTTTGTGAACWGTTTTTTGACTTTTACTTGAGTAGTTTTCTCATCAGTGAAATTTATTTTTACCAAAGTCATTTTCTGTTCATGTTATTTTACTTAGTTATTTTTTTCAAGGACCTTATAGACCTCTGATTTTACGACCCTCTGTACTTAGAGTATCAAATGTCTTTTTTCTTGCTTGTTGCTGTGATTCAGAGCTGAGAAAGAATCCCTGGAGACGGTCCTGTTTGAAACCCAGGAGCTTTCTGCTTCTCTGGAGGCCAGGAGCAGCAGGCTGGAGGGTGAGAGGCGCAGCTTGGTCCTGGCTAACGATGCCTTGACACGTGAGTGGTCTTCTCCCTCTGAGACCCCCACTGTTTTCTATGCAAGGCCCTTTAGCCATGAAGCTTTTCCTGTCGCCCACTAGAGATATATATTTCCATATTTCAGCTCTGAGCCCGGCAGCAGCTGGAACTGTTTTTATAGCTGACCAGATTCACCAGGGTTCCTGCAGATCCTTACAAAGTCTTGAAAGGTCTTGAATTCATCAATCCAAAATTAAGGCCTTGATTAGCTTTAAAATGTCTTAAATCAATCTTTCAGTGGTCTTAAAAATGTTAACACATTGCAAGTAGGATGATTTGTCTCGAATAATGAAATAATTGGAAACATTTATTTTTTAAATATTTACATGCAGACATTCCCCTTTGACATCACTTCCTGTTACTTCACATGCAAATATCTCAACTGTTCAGTTGTGGATGAGAACCCACTGTGGGTCTTAAAACTCCAAACGTTGTCTCGTTAGATGATTTCCAGGAATTAAATTAGGTTTAAAACTGACTGCCAAGAATGTTTTTGCTATATTTGACAAAAATGCATATGGATAAAAACAAATATTTTTTTAGCAATATTTGAATACTTCAACCAAAAAAACTTTGATTCATGAGTTTCTGCCAGTTTGAAATTTTTTTTTGTCATTTGTTTTTATTGTAAAATTAGTCTTAAATTTCATTTCACTTGGCATTAAAGAGTAGCTTACCCCAAAATTAACTTTTTTTAGCTGATAAACTGTCTAGAATGTGTCTAAAATGTTATATAGTACTGTTTCTGTGCTAATTTTGATGTTTTTGTGTGTATTTGTTCAAATCTATAATATTTGGTCTAAAAATGTCTTTTTGCTGCGCATATGGGTGGAGCAGTGGTACTGCAGGCTAATTTGCATATTGGTTAACGGCTCTCCGCTTTGACGTGGTTCTGCACAGTTTCGTCACAGCAGCTGTGTTCTGGTATAAAAGCCTCTCTCTAAGACACGCCCCTGCAGCAGTCAGAGGGTGGAACAGTTAGCAAGCTTAGCATGATCGTCTGTTGACCTTCAGCCTCGGGTGGGGAGAGCTGACTGCTCTCTCTCTCCCCCTCTGTCTCTCTCCACACACACACACACACACACACACACAGAGAGAGAGAGAGAGAGAGAAAGAGACCAGAGGAGGGAAAGAAAGGCAGCAACTTATACAGATTGTCTGTAAATTATAAGGATTTTACATCATTTTGCAGGTATACGGACGTATAGAGCAATCTCACGGATTTTTTCAAGTCTTACGGATATTTTAAAAACCTCATTTTCAAATTTATCTAACATGTCAGAGCCTATAGGATGATTTAAAAAACAATAAATAACATCAAACAGCCATCTTCCAACCTGTTCTGCCGCTATAAGTTACTTTTCCCCCTCTCCTTTCCTCCTGCTCCACAGCAGGAGCTTTCATGTCCGCAGCCCCCCCCGCGGGTGCGAGTTGTTAGGATTTTTTGCAAAATTTGTGGATATTTAGGGCTCTTTATACAGGTAAACTACTTTTATTCCTGATTTAAACTAGCGATCATGAGCAGCTGTATGCTTTTATTTTTTTCTGTCAAGAGCGCTCCTCCTCCTCTGTCTGAGGCTGGTGTGGGGTGAAAATCCTCCACCTCAGACGCTCAGGGATATAACTGTCTGCATACTGTGGTCACTTTCCATGTAGCATCAATTATGCTAATGCTAGCTGTCACGTTCTCTTCTCCTGGCCACACCTCCGCTCTCTAAACCCCCTTCCCCACCCACTTTGATGAATTTTTCAAATTTCGCCTTGGGGCGGAGTTATCTTTTCACAGGGGGGGTAAGTTACACTTTAAAGAAGTCTGAAATTTAACTTGCCTTACACTGTAGGAGCCCTGTACACACAAACACGCTTGGATTATATAGATGGTGTTAAGTTACAGTTTTCCTACAAAATCTTTAAATATTATTACCCTGTGTAGATAAATCAAACATATAACTAGGGATACCAGTGTACAGCCAAAAATAAAAGTTAAAAAATAAAAAAAAAACAATTGGACTTTTATTCTGAAGCTGATTCCCTTCCTGTCCAAACCTGTGGATATTTATTTACCGTTATTTAACCAGGCAAGTCCCATTGAGATCCCAGATCTCTTTTTCAAGGGAGGCTTGGGCCTGAAGGAGTGGGGAAAACCGGAGTACCTGGAGAAAACCCACACAAGCATGAGGAGAACATGCAAACTCTGCACAGAAAGACCCCAGGTCCAAAATAGGAATCAAACCCAGAACCTTCTTGCTGTGGGGCGTCAGTGCTAACCACTGAGCCGTCTCCCTATTTGTTGCTGGAGTCTCTGTTTTTTCTCGAAACACAAGACCCCGGTACATTTTAAACCCAGCAGGACCCTCAGACAGAGGCCAGTCCATCGTAAGACCAGGACACTCAAACCCAAGCTGAGTGGTGTGTGTGCAGTTCAGAGCAGGTTGAAGAAACTAAACAACCTCTCTACAGAAGCATGGCTCAACTCAGGACAGTTATCACTTCAGGACCAGACTCACCAACATGTTCATTTTTTTGTACAGTGAAGACAGAAGTTTTGAGACAAGGAGAGGGGGGGTGAAGAAAGATATTTACGTCAAATAAGAAAAAACAACTTTAAACAGAGGAGGAGACCTCAGATTTCATCTTTCAAAACCATAAAATACAGCAATAGGTTTGAATCTTAACTTAGTTTTACCCAGGGGTGAAAGTAGTTTTAAGTTCTTGCCGGTACTATGACATAAACCGACATTAACTGTCCCTGTGTGTGTGTGTGTGTGTGTGTGTGTGTGTGTGTGTGTGTGT